GTGCGTGGTCCCAGACCGACCCCACATGCACCACAAGGGACCCCTCAGAGAATCCCCGATCCCAGTGCGGCTCATCATGGGGCCCCTGACACAATCCCCAATGCCAGACCAACCCCTCACTGGACCTTTCGCGGGTTCCCCCCTCACAGACAAGACCTTCACGGGACCCCCGACCTGGCCCCAGCGCGGCCCCTCACGGGATCCCTCACAGAATCCCTGATCCCAGCACGGCCCCTCATGGGACCCTTCACGGGATCCTCGATCCCAGCTTGGCCCCTCACGGGATCCTTCAGAAGATTTCCCCTCACAGACCAGCCCCTCACGGGACCCTTCACGGGATCCCCCCTCACAGACAATACAGGGCAATGAAGCCCCTCACGGGACCCTTCACAGGATCCCCCTCACAGACAATACAGGGCAATGAAGCCCCTCACGGGACCTTTCACGGGATGCCCCTCACAGACAAGCTCCTCACGGGACCCTTCACGGGATCCCCCTCACAGACCAGCTCCTCACGCGACCTTTCACGGGATACCCCTCACAGACAAGCTCCTCACGGGATCCTTCACGGGATCCCCCTCACAGACAAGCCCCTCACGGGACCTTTCACAGGATGCCCCTCACAGACCAGCTCCTCATGGGACCCTTCACGGGATCCCCCTCACAGACAAGCTCCTCACGGGACCCTTCACGGGATGCCCCCTCATGGACAAGCCCCTCACGGGACCTCACCGAAGACTCGCTCGCGCCCCCAAAAGGCGGGAACTGCTCAGCACCCGGCGGAAACCCCCGAAAGCTCTACGGAGATTCCCGAAGGAGAGCGGCGAAACACGCCGATCGATACCGGAACCTTCCGAGAAGGCTCGACGATAACGCCCGAAAATGCGGGCGAAAATCTACGAGCGGAGACGGAAACACCCGAGAGCATCACGAAACTCCACGAGCGGCCGCGACGGAACTCCCCGAGCGGTGCCCGAGCCATCCGAAAGCGCGACGGAACAACCCGAGCGAGGGCGGAAANGGGCATGGCAGGGGTTGTATTCACAGGGATGGGTGGGCACAATGGGAGCTGCATTCACAAGGATGGGTGGGCATGGCAGGGGTTGTACTCACAGGATTTGGTGGGCAGGGTGGGAGCTGTATCCCAAGAGATGGGTGGGCATGGTAGGGGCTGCATTCATAAGGATGGGTGGGCATGGCAAGGGTTGTATTCACAGGATTTGGTGGGCAGGGTGGGAGCTGTATCCCAAGAGATGGGTGGGCATGGTAGGGGCTGCATTCACATGGCAGGGGTTGTATTCACAAGGATGAGTGGGCATGGCAGGGGTTGTATCCCAAGAAATGGGTGGGCATGCTAGGGGTTGTATTCACAGGGATGGGTGGGCACGGTGGGAGCTGTATCCCAAGAAATGGGTGGGCATGGTAGGGGCTGTATCCCAAGAGATGGGTGGGCATGGCAGGGGTTGTATTCACAGGGATGGATGGGCACAGTGGGAGCTGCATTCACAAGGATGGGTGGGCATGGTGAGGGCTGTATCGCAAGAAATGGGTGGACATGGTAGGTAGGGGTTGTATTCCAAGAAATGGGTGGGCACGGTGGGATTTGCATGCCCATGAAGGGCACACTGGGGCAGGGGGGGCATCTCCAAGCCTGGAGCTGATGCCTCTGCCTCTGCCTGGCTGCAGATGGAGGACCTGGGCCTGGCCACGGTGACGTACCCCACAGAGAACCAGGACCCCGTGCCCACCTTCTCCTCCCAATTCCACCACCAAGTCGGCGGCTTCTTCATCCTGGCCAACTTCCAGCGGTTCCTGGAGACGGCGTACCGGGCACTGCGGCACCTCGCCAGCCTCTGACCCCTGCCTGTGGATGTCCCACCTGAGGGACATCCCGGGAGCACCCCATTTCCTGCTTATTTAATATTTATGGCTATTTAATATTTATCTGTCTGGGGATGCTCCCCCTGCCAGGGGATCCCGCGGTGGATCCGTGCACAGGTCCCTGTGCAGCATCACCCTTGTTTAATATTTAAACACAAGCGTATCTCTGCTACGAGGTTCTGGAGCTGGGCTGAGCCCCCACAGCTGCTGCTGGCACTGCCTGTGCCTCAGTTTCCCCATGGCTCGCACTGCTGGGGCTGCTGCATCATCCCAGGGGAAAACATCCCAGGATGAGGATGCTCCAGAGCAGCATCTCCCTGCCTGGGCTGCAGCCTGCAGGGACACATCTGATGGGTGTTATTTTCTAGTAATTAATATTTATTAGCCATTAAGGAGGGAGGGGAGGGAAGATGCAGCAGCCTCACCAGGATGAGGCTTTTCTGGGGAGCCCCAGCACTTTGGGGAGCTGCATCTCTGCTCCGTCCCCCTTCCCTGCTAAACTCAGAGTACTTATTACAGTTTTAACTTATTTGTGTCCATCCCTGGCCGGAAGGAGCCACTTGGACACATTCCCATCCTCCTGAGCCTGACGCAGCCCCAGTCCCGTGGTTGTGTGGGAGCTCTTGGGCGTGGGGAGTTTTGTACTGTATTTATTGCTGCAGCTGGGTGAGCCCCGAGAAACACCCGCTTTTTTCTATGTGATAAAAATGGAAATAAACTCTATTTTTGCACTCTCTCTGTCTCTCTCTGTTCCTCTGTCTCCTGCTCGCATGGGAGGGAGGCAGAGTGGCCAGGCTGTGGGGACACGGGGACAGAGACAGGAGGGATGAGGGAATGGCACTTTGGGGCAGGCTGTGGTGCTGGTGCCAGCTCACAAAGATGAAATGCAGCCCCCCCAGTGCCCCCACCCCACAGCCTGAGCCCGCTGAGGGTCAGGAGATGCTGTGGGGTGGCCACTTCCTCCCACACCCAGCAGGGCTGCTTGGGCAAGAGCCGATTCCTAGAAAGCTCTGGAAGCCACCCACGCCTGCCCAGGGCACCAGCACCATGCCCAGAGCTGGTTTGCGGGCTCATCCTGGGGCTGGTGACACTGGGGGTCCCCAACCGCCCTTGTGCTGCTGCTGTGACACAGAGAATCTGCCCAGGGATGTGCCAGGAGCCCTCCCAGTGCCCAGGGATGTGCCATGGTGGGAGGAGGCTTTCAGCAGTGAGGAAGGCAGAGTGGATGGACAATGTGGATGAGCAATGTCAGGGGAGCCCTGGGCATCTCCCTTGCCATAGAAAGCCCCTAAGGGCACCCCCAGCCTCGCCCCAGTGGGTGTTTGCCCACCCTGGGCTGTCCCAGCTTCACCAGCCCCCATTTCCTACTATGGCACTGGGGATCCCCAACCAGCCTTGTGCTGCTGCTGTGACAGAGAGAATCTGCCCAGGGATGTGCCAGGAGCCCTCCCAGAGCCCAGGGATGTGCCAGGAGCCCTCCCAGTGCCCAGGGATGTGCCATGTGGTGGGAGGAGGCTTTCAGCAGTAAGGAAGAGTGGATGGACAAAAGGGGCACCCCCAATGTGAATGAGCAATGTCAGGAGAGCCCTGGGCATCTCCCTTGCCCTAGAAAGCCCCTCAGGGCACTCCCAGCCTCTCCCCAATGGGTGTTTGCCCACTCTGGGCTGTCCCAGCTTCACCAGCCCCCATTTCCTGCCACTGGGCCCACGCTGACATCCCATGACCAGCAGCATCCCTCACCACACCACACTCAGTCCTTACCCCAGCATCCCTCACCACCCACAGCCCAGTGCTGGGGGGTACCAGGGCTCCCAGCTCCTGCCCCCCAACTTCCAGCCCTGGATCCCCAACTGCCAGGGGGAAGCCCTCACCCTCGGGGTGGGCACTTCCCTCCCTCCTGCTCCGCTTACAGAAATCCCCCTTCTCCTGCTCCAGCCCCTTCCTGGAAGGGGAAGCGCCGGTGCCAAAGCCAGGCACGGAGCTGCCTCGGCAAATATTGACAGAGCTGGCAAGGCCACGCCAGGTCCCGCTCTTTGCTCCGGGCTAACGGTAAAGAGCCGCCCCTGGGCCAGCACAGGAGCCAGCTCAGGGTGGGACTCTCAACAGCCTGAGGTTCATCCCAGCCCATCCTGGTGCTCCATTAGCCCCACCCAGCCCCGCAGCTGCTCCCGATGGGCACCAGGGGCAGCGGGAAGGGGAGGATGCTCTGTGTGTGAAGGCCAAGGAGCAGCAACACCCACAGCTACCCCAAGGGCATTGGGGTCTCTCCTTCCAGCAAAGCCTGGGGGCTGCCAGGAGCTGAGCTCATCTGGGATCAGATGGGGTCAGCCTGGCCCTGAGTCACCATCCCACTGCCTCGGCCCTGGCCAGCACTGACACAACCCCTGCAGGATCCATCTCCCTTCAGAGCACCCCAAAACGGGGCTGGGAGCCCCACTGGAGTCACAGTGCCCTGAGGGAAGGGCGGGAAGGGCTGGCCCCACTTTCCCCTTCCTCGTGAGTCAACACCAGTGAAGGGGCAGGGGTGCAGCCGCCCTGGCACTGCCACTGCCTCGGGGACAAGAGCTCATGACAGCTCCTGGAGGATTCACTGCTGGAGCAGCTGGCAGGGTGTGGGGACAGCGCCAGGGCAGCCTGAACCAGCACGGAGCTGGGGTGGTGCTGCTGAGGCCGCAGTTACTGAGCCACTGCCCGTGCTCAGCACGGACTGAACCCACAGGGAGGAATCACAGTGAGAACTCACACTCATGGGGAGGAATCCAATAAAAACTCATGGGGAGGAATTCCAACAAAAACTCACACTCATGGGGAGGAATCCCAATGAGAACTCACACTCACAGGGAGGAATCACAGTAAGAACTCACACTCATGGGGAGGAATCACAGTGACAACTCACACTCATGGGGAGGAATCACAATGAGAACTCACACTCATGGGGAGGGATCCCAATAAAAACTCATGGGGAGGAATTCCAACAAACATTCATGGGGAGGAATTCCAATGAGAACTCACACTCATGGAAAGGAATTTCAACAAAAACTCANTGGCTTGGGGTGAGACCCCTCGGGGTTGGGATCTCACAGGGGTTGGTTATGGGACCTTTTGGGATGTCAGGCGCCATGGAATTTGGGTTGGGAGCGCCTAGGTTTGGGACCTTCTGGGATGTCAGACCCCGTGGAATTTGTTTTGGGAACTACCAGGTTTGGGAGCTCCCAGGTTTGGGACCTTGTGGGCTGTCAGGGGCCATGAAATTTAGGTTGGGAGCTCACAGGTTTGGGATCTCACAGGGCTTGGATATGGCACCTGGGATGTCAGGGGCCATGGAATTTGGGTTAGGAACTCCCAGGTTTGGGACTCCTCAGGGTTGGGATCTCACAGGGGTTGGATGTGGGACCTTTTGGGCTTTCAGGGGCCATGGAGTTTGGGTTAGGAACTCCCAGGTTTGGGACTCCTCGGGGTTGGGATCTCACAGGGCTTGGATGTGGGACCTTCTGGGATGTCAGGCTCCATGGCATTTGGGTTGGGAGCTCCCAGGTTTGGGACCTTCTGGGATGTCAGACCCCGTGGAATTTGGTTTGGGAGCTCCCAGGTTTGGGACCTTCTGGGCTGTCAGACCCCATGGAATTTGGGTTGGGAGTTCACAGGGTTGGGATCTTACAGGGCTTGGATGTGGGACCTTCTGGGCTGTCAGGGGCCATGGAATTTGGGTTGGGAGCTCCCAGGTTTGGGACCTTCTGGGATGTCAGACCCCATGGAATTTGGTTTGGGAGCTACCAGGTTTGGGAGCTCCCAGGTTTGGGACCTTCTGAGATGTCAAACCCCGTGGAATTTGGTTTGGGAGCTCACAGGTTTGGGATCTCACAGGGCTTGGATGTGAGACCTTCTGGGCTTTCAGGGGCCATGGAATTTGGGTTAGGAACTCCCAGCTTTGGGACTCCTCAGGGTTGGGATCTCACAGGGGTTGGATGTGGGACCTTCTGGGCTGTCATACTCCATGGAATTTGGTTTGGGAACTCCAAGATTTGGGACCTTCTGGGATGTCAGGCCCCATGGAATTTGGTTTTGGACCTCACAGGTTTGGGACCTCCTTGGATGTCAGATCCCTTGGGATTTGGGCCTTCCCAGGGTCAGGTCCAGGGCTCCCCAGGGTTGGGCTCCACGGTGACAGCTCGGGGATCTCCCAGGCCTGGCACCTTCCAGGATGAGATCTGGGATCTCCCAGGGTTGGGCTCTGCAGGGACAGGTGTGGGATCTCCCATGGTCAGGCCCCATGGGGACAGGTTTGGGATTTCCCAGGGTGTTGGGCCCTGCAGGGATGTCAGATGCAGCATCTCCTATGTTTGGAACTTCCCAGGGACAAATCTGTGACCTTCCAGGCCCCACAGGGACAGGAACGGGTTTGGGATCTCCTGGAGTCTTGTGCCCCACGGGGATGGGTGCAAGACCTCATGGAGTGCACAGGGACAGTTTGAGGCTCCATGGGGACTCACTCAGAGTCTTGCTGTGCCCCAGGTGCACAAGCTGCTCATCGTGGTGGAGCTGCTCCTCGGGGAGATCCCGGACAGGCTCCAGTTCCGGCAGCCCTCGCTCAAGCGCTCGCTCATGCCCTACTTCCTGCTGACCCAGGGTATGGCTGCCCACCCCTGTCCGTCTGTCCTTCCTGCAGGGTCAGGGGATCATGGAATATCCTCAGTGGGAAGGGACCCAGTGGGAATTCCCTTTCTCCTTCCCCCATTCCCACCTTCTTCCCTCCAGCCGTCAGGACAGGGAACCTAGCCAAGTTCAACCAAGTCCTTGACCAGTTTGGGGACAAGTTCCAGGCTGATGGCACTTACACCCTGATCATTCGGCTGAGGCACAACGTCATCAAGACAGGTAGGAAGGGAGGGTGTTTGGGGACCCCCAGCAGGTTGGGCAGGCCTGGGGGGCTGCATCCCCTTCCCTTGTCCTGCAGGCGTCCGCATGATCAGCCTCTCCTACTCGCGCATCTCCCTGGCTGACATCGCCCAGAAGCTGCAGCTGGACAGCCCCGAGGACGCCGAGTTCATCGTTGCCAAGGTACCAGCACAGGGAATCCCATCCCTGTGGGATGTGCCCACAGCCCCCACCCTGCCCTGTTCCCCACACCCCTCCCTGCAGCACCGCTGGGTTTGGGTGGCGGCTCCTCCAGGGAGAGCTGGGGGACGCTCAGGGGACTCTGTGTGAGCCCTTGGGGACATCCCATGCCCTGCCCCGTGCCCGGGCTCGCAGGCCATCCGGGACGGCGTGATCGAGGCCAGCATCAACCACGAGAAGGGCTACGTGCAGTCCAAGGAGATGATCGACATCTACTCCACGCGGGAGCCCCAGCTGGCCTTCCACCAGCGCATCTCCTTCTGCCTCGACATCCACAACATGTCTGTGAAGGTGAGCACAGCCTGGCCCCGGGTCCCTGGTGGGGACAGCAGGACGTGGCTCAGGGCTGGCTCAGCTCTGAGCTGCTCCTCCTCTTTTTCTCCAGGCCATGAGGTTCCCACCCAAATCGTACAACAAGGACTTGGAATCTGCAGAGGTGAGATCTCTGCGGCCACCACGGCCACGGGAAGGATGTGGCTCCTGTCCCCATCTGCCACCAATCTCAGCCTTTACTTTCTAGGAGCGCCGGGAGCGTGAGCAGCAGGACCTGGAGTTTGCCAAGGAGATGGCAGAGGACGATGACGATGGTTTCCCGTGACCCTGGGCCCTGGCTGTGCTTTTTTATTTGTCCCTTGGACAGATGGTGGCTGAGCAGGGCCCTCCGTCCCCCCCAGACCCCCTTTTATAAATCCCTGCATGTCTGTACTGTGGGAGGGGACACAGGGGGTTCCCTAGGCTCGCACCCCCTGACCACCTGCACTTGTGGTGGGACCCCCTCCCCAATAAAACATCCTTCAAAGGATCCCTGTGGTGACATCGGAGCCGATGCTGGGGGGCAGCGAGGGGAGCGGGGCTGGAGGGAGCAGGAGTGGGGTCTCCACCGGTGCCCTCCCAGCTCCCACAACGGGGTCATACTTTGTTAAAACTTCAATTATGACTTTTAAAATAAAAGATGGAAAAACACCAGCCCTGGTGGCTCCTGGTGTGGGTTTGTTGGGATGGGGAAGGGGCATGGGGCTGGCTTGGGGTCTCTGCTCTCTCTCCCTGGGATGAGGCACCAGAGATGGGACTGGAGCTGGGTCAGGCCATCCTGGGGGACTGGAGCTTTGTCTCAGTGGTGCTGGGAGTGGTCCCAGCAGCTCCAGGATGGTATCCCAGGAGGATTACACTGAAAAAGGCACAGAGCCCCCCACAACACCAGCCCTGGGGGTTGATGGGGACATGCAGCCACTCCAGGTGGCTCCCATCAGCATCTGGGATGAGTTCTCTGAGAAAATCTGGGAATCTCCCAGCCCCGCCCATGCCGGGATGGCAGCCAGGGCTGCAGGTCAAGAGCGGGGCTGTCCCAGCCCATTCCCGCTCTGGGGGAGACCAGAGAAGGCAAGAGCCCAGCCAGGGGGGCTGGCACTGGGGACACAGGGACATCCCAGGAGCTGGCAGATGCCAGGAAGGGGCTGAGGGTGCCCAGGTTGGGCTCCAGGAAGAGGAAGGGTGGCCACGAGGCTGAAACAGAGGGTTCCAGCAGGGTGGGTTCTTGGAACAGTCCCTGGACCGAGCTCCAGCCCCATGGTGGGGGTGGGGGGGTTTGCTGGGCCATCTCCTCCCCCCAACCCCCCAGTTTCATATCTGAAACCACTTCCTTCCCTGGAAAGCTGACAGGGCCTTTGGGCACTGATTCAACCCCCCCACGCTGCCAGCACAATTCCTGAAAGTGCCAACCTGCTGAGAGGGCAGATCCTCATCCTCTGGGCTGGTCCTGTGGGTGCCCGGACTGAGGGGACCACCCTGAGCCCCTCAATGGCCACCAGGACGGGGACAGGCAGAGCTGGGGGGGCTGTTTCTCCCATAAATCCCATTTACAGACTGCTGGCAAGGTCCTCTCACACACCCAGAGGGCAGAACGTTTAGTGCTGCCAGGTTCCAAGGGAGGTCAGCAGTAATTTTTAGAGTTCACACCTGGCTGTGCCAGGAAGGCTCTGCTTGGTACCCATGGATTGGCTGCAGCTGATGGGGGTTTATTTCCCAGCTGGAGGCAGAAACTTCCAGGACTTCCAGCTTCTGGGAGTGGTGCTGTGGCTGTACNAAGAGAAAGGAGTATCCTGAATTTTAAGGTTGGAAGGCCTCAGAGAACCCAGAAAAGCTGGGCAGGGAGTCTGGATTTACCCACCCACTCCTGCCACCCTCACCTTCCCCAGCCACTGCTGCTTTTGGGCACAGAGAGCCTCCAGGCAGCCCCTGCCCACCCAGACACACCTCAATGTCCTCCCTGTGCCTCTTCTTCTGCCGGGCTGAGGCCTGCACCTTGCTGTGGGAGGAGTAGGAGCTCAGGGCACACCAAACTGAGAGCCTGGGGACAGACAGGGACACAGGCAGGTGCTGCCAGCCCACCTGACAATGGGGTGTGGCACACAACAGCTTCCTCCTCCTCCTCCTCCTCCTCCTCAGGGGGCAGCAGGGAATGGGAACTGCTGGCACTGCCAAAGCCAGGCTGGGATTTGGGTAGCTGGGATCCTCATCCCAGCACGGATCATCCCCCCATCTCCCCAAACAGGCCTTGAGGAGACAGCCTTCATTGCTTTGGGGGTCTTACTTGGCCAGAGCCTTCCCAGGGGGGTCCATGAGGGTGTGCCACTTGGAGGAGTCTGTCAGCAGGTTGGGCAGGATGTGGCCCAGCAGTGTCAGTGTCAGCTGGTGCATGTCCAGGCAGAAGATGGCATAGAGCAGCTCCACAGCCCTCAGCGTGTGCTCCTTCCTTGTCTCCTTCAGCAGCTCCTGCAGGGTGGAGGGGAGAGGTGGCCCTGCCCAGAACAGAGCCAGAACTGTCCCAGCACCCAGCCCAGGGACACCCAGTGTCAGAGCTCAGTGCATCCCTCTGGGTGCCCAGAGTTGCCAGGACCCTGCCGGGGGGCTCACAGACCCTGGGGATTTGATTGTGAGCCCTGGAGCAAGCTGCCAGCTTTGTATGAGGACCTGAAAGTCACAGAGGTTTGAATGGTGTAATAATAAAATTATCACAGGGTGGAAATGTAGATTTTAGGATTTTTGGTATGGGNTTTGGGGACAGACTGTGAGGGACAGGGGGGCTGCTGTGCTGGGACCCCACGGGGGTGCAGAGGGAGAAAACTCTGCAAGGGCCTCTCCACCGCCCTGCTCCAAACAGGGCAGGCGGGACACTGGGGACACCAAGGGCAGCTCAGAACAGCAGGACAGGGTGAGGGGGAAGCTCTGGGATTTGGGCTGAGGGGTGTCCGTGTGTGCCCCCACAGACATCAGGGAGCACATGAAGCTCCAAACAGGGCACTGGGGACACCAAGGGCAGCTCAGAACAGCAGGACAGGGTGAGGGGACAGCCCTGGGATTTGGGCTGAGGGGTGTCCGTGTGTGCCCCCATAGATATCAGGGAGCATGTGAAGCTCCAAACAGGGCAGGTGGGACACTGGGGACACTATGGGCATGGGCAGAGGGAGCTCAGAACAGCAGGACAGGGTGAGGGGGAAGCTCTGGGATTTGGGCAGAGGGGTGTCCGTGTGTGCCCCTACAGACATCAGGGAGCACGTGAAGCTCCAAACAGGGCAGGTGGGACACTGGGGACACCAAGGGCAGCTCAGAACAGCAGGACAGGGCGAGGGGGCAGCTCTGGGATTTGGGCTGAGGGGTGTCCCTCTGTGCCCCCACAGACATCAAGGAGCACGTGAAGCAGCTGGAGAAGGCGGTGTCGGGGAAGGAGCCGCGCTACGTCCTGAGGGCCCTGCGGGCTCTTCCCTCCACCTCGCGCCGCCTCAACCCCAACGTGCTGCACAAGGCCATCCACGGCTTCTTCACCTCCAACTGCACTGTCAGGGACTTCCTGCTGGGGTTCCTGGAGGAGGTAGGGACACCTGCTGCTCTGCCCTGCTCTGCTGACACCCCCCTAGCCCCTGTAGAATTCTCTCTGGCCACAAAGAGCAGCCAAGGACTTCCCCAGGCATTTTCCTGTGAGAAAATCAGAGAAAAGAATGAGAAGCAATTCTTATCTGCACTCGCTGCACCTGTTGTTGTGCACGTGTGGGATGTGTTATGGAGGTTGTTTACCAAAGGGGGGTTTCTTGGTTAGACACTGGTGATGGTGTTTAGTTTAAAGTTTTAGTTTAAAACTGGTCAGTTTAAAGAGAATGACTAGTTAAGTCAAAGCTGTATCAGACTGTCTGTAAAGGTGATGAGCTTCTTAATAAGTATAGTATAATAGAATAGAATAAAACAATTGGTCAGCCTTCTGCAATCATAAATAATGCATTAATAAATAATTATTACCCAGCTGGGAGTCTGCAATAACACTGCCACAGCACAGGAAGGATGTGGAGGTGTAGGAGTGAATCCAGAGGATAATCAAAAGGATGGAGCAGCTCAGCTGTGAGGAAGGACAAAGAGAGTTGGGATTGTTCAGCCTGAAGAAGAGAAGGTTTAGGGGTGAACTTATTGTGGCCTCTTCACCATTATCTGAAGAAGCAACAGGAAAGATGGAGACGGAATATTTACAAGGGCTTGGAAAAGGGGGAGTGGCTTGCCACTGACAGAGGGTGGGATTAGATTGAATACTGGCCAAAAATTCTTCCCTGTGAGGGCAGTGAAGCACCAGAATGGATTTCCCAGGAAAGTTGTGGCTGTCCCATGCCTGGAAGTGTCCATGGCTGGGTTGGACAAGGCTTGGAGCAACCTCATTTAGTGGAAGGTGGCAGGGTAGGGATGAACTTGAAGGCCCCTCCAACCCAAAAAAGCCTGGAATTCCATGATTCTTTGCTTCTCCAAGGAGCCTCTAGAGCAGGGCAGTGGGGTTTGGTGACACTGGGGACGAGCAGCCCCTCTGCTCAGACAAATGTGAGCAGGGCCAGGTCCTTGCAGTCCTGGCCTGGCTGCTGTCTCCACACAGGGACAGTGATCCCCAATTTCTCTCTCCCCTCAGTCCATGGACACAGAAGCTGAGCTGCAATTCCGCCCAAGGACAGGGAAAGCAGCCTCAGCCCCTCTCCTGCCAGAGGTGGAGGCTTACCTGCAGCTGCTGCTCGTCATCTACCTGATGAACAGCAAGAGGTACCCCGAGGTGAGACCCTGCGCTGCTCCCCAGCCATCCCCTGCCTCTGCCCCTTGCTGTCCCTCATCCCTGCAGTGTTTGCTTGTTCCCCACAGCCCCTCCTGGGATCAGTCCCCCTGCTCTGACCTCCCTTGCTGTCCCTCAGGCTCAGAAGGTGTCCGATGACCTGATGCAGAAGATCAGCTCCCAGAACCGCCGGGCCCTGGACCTGGTGGTGGCCAAGTGCTACTACTACCACTCCCGCATCTACGAATTCCTCAACAAACTCGACGTGGTCCGGAGGTGGGGTGGCTGTCCCTGAGCTTGATCCCCCTCTTTTCCTCCTTCTTTTTGTGGAAAGAGCTTGATCCCCCTGTTTTCCTCCCTCTTTTTGTGGAGGGCTGTCCCTGATTTGATGCTCCTGTTTTCCTTCCTCTTTTTGTGGGAAGAGCTTGATCCCCCCTGTTTTCCACCCTCTTTTTGTGGGAAGAGCTTGATCCCCTTGTTTTCCCCCCTCTTTTTGTGGGGGGCTGTCCCTGAGTTTGATCCCCCTATTTTCCTCCCTCTTTTTTGTGGGAAGAGCTTGATCCTCCTGTTTTCCTCCCTTTTTTTGTGGGGGGCTGTCCCTGATTTGATCCTCCTGTTTTCCTCCCTCTTTTTGTGGGAAGAGCTTGATCCCCCTCTTTTCCTCCCTCTTCCTGTGAGGGACTGTCCCTGAGCTTGATCCCCTCGTTTTCCTCCCTCTTTTTATGGTGGGCTGTCCTAGATTTGATCCCCCTTGTTTTCCTCTCTCTTCCTGTGTGAAGAGCTTCATCCCNCCCAGGGGCAGGCTGAGGTCAGTGATGGCCAGGACAATTTTGGGACTGGACATGGTGGACACCTTCACCAGCTCTGAAACCTGCTCAGGGACAGAGGAGAAGCACAGGTGAGTGTGTGCCACATCCTGGGGCACTCCCCAAGCAGGGACAGGGGTGTGTCAGTGCACCCACCATGGTGAAGGGCATGAACTGGAGGATGCTGCCACGGCTGCCCTGTTCCAGGCACTCCACACACTCCTCCATGAACCACTGCACAAACTGGGTGTGGGTGCCAGCTGTCTTGGCCCCCAGGATGGAAGAGATGAGCAGGAAGAGGTTTGCTGTGGGGATAGAGAGACACAAACAGTCAGGTGACCTTTGGGGGTGTCCCAGTGGTGGGATGTGACCCCACAGAGCCGTCCCCACCTTACCCAGCACTCGGTTCAGAGGGTCCCTCATGCTGACAGTGTGCAGCTGGGAGGCAGAGAGTGAGCTGCTCATGGAACGATCTGTGGGCAGGAACAGAGTCAGGAACAGCTTTGTGCCCCCCTTGGCTGAGCCACTGTGCCCAGCTCTGGCCACTCGAGGTCATCCAGCTCTGGGAGGGGCTTTGCCATGAGGCAACAGTGGAGCAGAAGAGGTTTAGGCCCCCTGTGCCAGTGGGGCACCCCAAAAACACAGCACAGATGGTTCTGCCCCATCCCTGTCCCCTGTGCCAGCCCACACGGAGCCCAGACAGGTTTCCCGTGCTGCTTGTGGTGTCATGAGTGTCGTGATCAGGAGCACAGGAGAACAGCAGCAACACACACATTACACATCCTGTGTGTGAGCCAGATGCTCAACAGCTGCACAGCAGCCCTCCCATCTCACTGTCAGGGTGCAATCCAGCTATCAGAGCTGAAGCACGTCCAAATCTAGCAGCAAATCCTGGGACAGACCAGGAGGATTGAGCTGACCCCCAGATGTGAAGCATTGCTGGGCACTCCTGTGGGAAGAACTGGGTCAGGTGTGCTCCAAAGGGATGGGAATCCCTTTGGGAAGGATCTTGTGCACATCTCACAGCCCCTGCCTAAATCTGCAGGATCCACCTTGTGCTGCTCTGAGGATGCTCACCAGAAAAAGAAAAGCCCTCCCACACTTTTCTCATGGAATCACATGAGCTCCATGGTGGCTGCAGGAAGCAGCATTTCCACATCACTGCAGCAAACAGCCCAAAAAAGTCCTGAATGTCACTGGGAAGAGGTGGGACTGCCTCAGGAGGTAAAAGAAGATAAGTGAAATAAAGGGAAAAGCCCATATTTCAACAGTAATGAAACCAAAGTGAAACCGAAGGTCAATGGATGTGACGAAAACTAATATATAAAGTAATTTGGGATAAAGGGAGAAACAATGACCTGAGAATGTCCTGACTCACTGCCCAGGAGTGTGGACAATGTATGTGGGAACTGTGACATGGATCCCCTCAGCAAATCCCCAGCTGGAGCTGTTGTAACCCGTGACACTGCAGGGACAGGGATGTCACCAGGGGCCCCAACCGCTCTGCCTCAGCCTTGTTAACAGCACTGGAATGTCAGGATTTGGCCCCAGACACCAGGAATGTCACATCCAGCTGTGGTCCCATGAGGGGTGGCTGGAGGGACACAAAGACCCCCTGAGCTGGCATGAAAGGAAAGGGTAATGTCATCCTTTCAAGTTGTTCTGACCAGAAAAAATAAATAAATTGGCTTTTCCCAAATGCAAAAACTCCAAGATAATTCAAAAAGCACTTGAGAGCTCTAAACCCTCACCCAGCCAGTTTGGGAAGGGAAGGGGTTTTGTGCAAACACACATTTCCAAAAGGGACAGGGAGGCAGGGCAGCCACCCCCTCTCCCCTCCTGCACTTACTGGGGCTGGAGAGGATGTTGGAATCCTCCTCGTTGGAGCTCAGCAGCCTCATGAGCTTGGAAGGCTGGGTGTCATCCAGTGGGAACAGGCTGATGTAATCCTGGGGGGGACAGGAGGGTCAGCCCCAACCAGCCCCTCACCCTGCACAGGGCTGGTCACCCACCGTGGGCTCTGCACAGCCCCA